ATGGAGCCGCTGTTGTGGGGGAAGGAGGCGGAGGAGCAGATGGGACGGCTGAGTATAAGGCGGCCCTGGGCTGGGGTGCAGACTCTGAGGCGAGTTCAGCACACCATGCCAAGGCTCAGTTCTTGGGAGCATGTGTATGTGTGTTGGGAACTACATGGCGATCACACGGGTGTGAACTTGGGGGACACCACGGGGGAGTGTACAGAACTTTGTGCTGCATTGCAACGCTTCTGTAAAGCCCGGATATGCAGAAATGTAAAAAAGTGTTACACAAAACAGGCATTAGAGTGAAAACAGCACAAAATCCAGGGGGGACGCGGGTTCCTCTGGATCCACTTGCACCCCTGTTGCCTGTGACGCACTCCACGCTACCCTTATAAATGCACTTGACTGAAAGGACACAGAAGGGAGGAAGTCGCCGCTGGAAGGGGACCCTTGGGTCCTGCCCCACGTAGACCGTAAGTGCAGCTGTCACAGCTAGCAGCCAGCAGAGGGCGCTATTTGTCGCACCACCAAACAGCTTCCCTTACCCTGCTATATCTCAGGGCATCTCCACAAGGGGGTACTAATTCCAAGTCCAGTCCAAAAAAGGATAAATTATGGTCATTGTTTTCAGTTTGGGAACACAAGCTAATATATTGCTTAACCTAGAAGTGCTGGTTATATAGTATTTTTCTAAGTTGTGGAGCTTAACAAAACAGGTTCCTTTTTTTTTTTTTTTTTTTTTTATGGGCATCCTAGAAGTTGTGACCCTGGGCTCTGGTCGTGAAGGTTAAAGGACCTCCCAGCACACGTGGCCCACTTTAGCTCCCTGCCTTTGTAAATCTTCTAGCTGAAGGACTGTTCCCTTTCCAGTTCTACCATGCTTCTTGGTCAGCCCATTAAATAAAGAGGAGAAGCCATTGAGAAAAGCTCTAGAATCTTGCAAGTGGCATTCCTTGCCCTGCTCCTCTCTCTCTGTGAGGGTCACATGAAAGTCCCAGGCTGGTGGGAGACACCACCCTTTCGCAGATGGCTGACTCAGCCCCACGTCTGGGTGGAGGCCCAGCCACACCTCTTTCTGTGAGGCCACCCGGCCCTTTCCAGTGCAGATGTGGGCTGCCCATCCTTTCCATCTCTGTCCCCAAGCCCCATCCCTAATCCTGGAAGGAAGCTCAGTGGGGTGTGGGGATGGTTCTTATGACCATGGACTTTCCCCCTTACACTACAGCCATCTTCCCATCTTCTGGATGGGCACTAGCTTAAATTTTCTGTGGGGTCGCATCCTTCCTTCCCACTATCCTGAGCCCCTGAAACTGCGGTAGGATGGCCCCTTCACCCCAGAGGGAGGTGTGACCTAGCCCTGGCCGATCCAGAGCTGCCAAGAGTAGAGGATTCTGGGACTGCTGCGGGACATCTGGCTGAGATGATCTGAGTATCTTCTTGAGTTCACGAAGCTAACAATGATGGAAGAGACGGATTCCTGACCATCCCTTGAGCACCTGGATCCAGCCAGGAGGCCTGAAGCTGGCCCCCACAGTTTTTCTATTTTTTTGTTTTGCTTAGACAATTTTTTTTTAAATGTATTTAGTACAGGGTCTATGGGGATCTCACTAGGTAGATACGGTAGATTGGACTCATAGTGATTCTTCTGTTTTCAGCCTCCCAAGGGCTGGGAGTACAGGTGCGCACCACCATGCCCAGTCTCAATCGCTGTCTCAGCGTGCCCTGGGGGCAGGGCTGGCACAGCACACCAGGGATCGAATCCTGGTCCCTGTGCTTTAGTTCGCTGAGCTATCTGGCTGGCCTTGCTTAGAGTAGTTTCAATTGAGGTTCTTATACTTACTAAGAAAATCTCCTGGATAACATGCTTGTTGAAACGTTAGCAGAAGCATCACTATGTAGTCAGAATGAAAGGTATATACAGGTTCTGACATGCCCAAATAAAACACGCCAGGCTGTAATCAAGCAGTGAATTTTCCTTTAACTTACAAAGGTAAAGCAGTGACCCAGAGAAGACATGATTTAAGACCAAGGAACTGGCCATAAACACATGGTAAAACATTAAACAGAGAAACTCAGAAGAAACAAACAGTTCTCTAGCTACGGCTGGTTTCAGATTATAAAGCCCCGCATTTCTGCTTTGAAAGTCATACCAGGGAAAGCATTCCACAGTTTTAAAAGAAAACTTTCCAATTAAAGAAACAGGTAGGGCCAGCCAGATAGCTTGCAGATTAAAGCGCCTGCTTAGGCAGACACAGGGGCCGGGGGTTTGAGCCCCAGTGTGCTGTGCCAGCCCGGGCTCCCGGGCACACTAAGATGGTGACTGAGACTGGGCATGGTGGCTCATGCCTGCTCTTGCCTTACTCAGCTCTTCCCAGCGCTTGGGAAGCTGAAAACAGGAGAATCACTACGAGTCTGATCTACTTAGTGAGATCCTGTAAACTCTGTAGACCCTGTCCCAGATACATTTAAAAAGAAAGAAAGAGGTAAAGCTGGGTGTGGTGGTGCACTCCTGTAATTCCAGCACTCAGGAGGCTGAGGCAGAAGGATCGCCATAAGTTCAAAGCCAGCCTGAGTTACACAGTGAGTCTGGGCTAGCCTGAACTACATAATGAAACCCTGTCTCAAAAAAATAAAGAAATAAATAAAATTTATAATAAATGTCCATTGTGTAAAATACATACTAGCATATAATAATCAGATGTGTCAGTATAATTCTATTATTGCTATACATTCAACTGTTATATAGATGTATAAGAATATTTAGAGTGATCTATTTCCAGGCTTTAATTTTTTTCTTCTTTTTTTAAAAATGTATTTGATAAAGGGTTCCACTACACAGCCCAAACTCATGGTGATCCTCCTGTTTTCAGCCTCCCCAGCGCTGGGGCTACAGGTGTGCACCACCTCGCCTGGTCTTGGAGGCCGGCTCAGCGCGCCCAGGGGTGGGGCTGGTGCAGCATGGGGTGCTGGGCATTGAACCCCTGTCCCTGTGCTTGCCTAAGCAGGCGCTTAGTCTGTTGAGCTATCTCACTGGCCCTCCAGGCTTTGTTTTAAAGAGAAAATAACAAGATCGTTCAGTCTATTTTTGCATTAAATAAGTTAACCATTAATCAGCACAGTTCCGGACAGACAGTAGCAGCTCGAATACCTCAGCTCCTCCTTCCTGCACCCCTTGGCCCTAAAATGGACTACATGGCCTGCAGCGAGAGGCGGTGCAGCTGTGTGTTACAGGCAGAGAGTGGTGAACCTCTGGAAAAGGCCGGCAGCACATAGCTTTCCTTTCTTGTGCTGCAAGATCTCTGTTTACTCAGAATGCCCTTGATCAAGCAATACTGAAATGAATGGGCATGGCTGTGCTCCAATAAAACTTTATTTATAAAGACAAATGAGGACCTAGAATCAGTCCATGGGCTGCAGTTTGCTCAGCTCTGGACCTGGCAGCCTGTGGAGTCCCTGAGGGCTGTGCCTCTGGAGAGCATTTGAAGAGCTACCTACGGGTCCCAGTCCCTAGGATTCTTTTTTTTTTTGTGGAACCAGGTATTGAACTCAGACCCTTTTGCTTGCTGGGAAAGTGCTTATTCTACTGAGCCATCTCCCCAGCCCCAAATTATTATTTCTTTATTTATTTTTATGTATTTAGGACAAAGTCTATAGGGTCTCACTACATAGATCAGACTCATAGTGATTCTCCTATTTTCAGCCTCCCAAGCGCTGGGATTACAGGTGCATGTGACCACCCCCAGTCTCAAAACAAGTGATTTTTTTTTGGCGGGGGAAAACCGGGGATTGAACTCAGGACCTTGTGCTTGCCAGGCAAGTGCTTATTCTATTGAGCTATCTCCCTGGCCCCAAGAAATTTTTCTTTCTTTTTTTTCTTTTGTATTTTTTAGGGAAAGGTCTACAGGGTATTCAGGATCTCACTACTAGATTGGACTCAGAGTGATCCTCCTGTTTACAGCCTCCCAAGAGCTGGGATTATAGGCGTGTACCACCACACCCAGGCTCAATTGCCATCTCAGCGTGCCCCAGGGGCGGGGCCAACACGGCAGGCCAGGGGATTGAACCCCGGCCCCTGCACCTGCTTGCAAGTGCTTTAATCCGCTAAGCTATTTGACTGGCCCTCCCTAGGATTCTGGCTATGGCCTCGCCCCAGGAAAGACTGCAAGCCTTGAAGGTCAGCCAGGCAGTGTTGGTGAGGAACATGCATGATCTCTCTGGGGCAAGGATGACAGCTGTCACTTCTACGTTTGCTGTAAACGAGGTGCCACAATGAGTTTTACACCGACGTTGGGCTCACCGGATCTGCAGGACAAGGCTGTGGGGTCATCATCGCTGTTGCTGCCCTACTGTGTCGCTGCAAAGACCCACGTTCTGAGGGGTCACGGACCTTGCTCGGGAGCACCTGGGTAAGCTGTGGCAGCACAGGGGCCCTGTCATCTCTTCCCATCCCCACACTGCATCTCCCCAGACACATACATGCTCCTTGTGATCAAGATGTTTTGGGCAAGTTTTCCACTATATTTCATTAAATTGAGACTACATTAGGTCATGATCCAGGCATATTTCTGACCTGGGCATAGTAATAGGTCACCTGCACTGAGCAAATGCCAGTGGGACACTGAGGTTCTCCTAAAGCTATGCACCACGGAGGAGACTCAGATGAGCAGAGAACCCTCCTCAGCCTGCAGCGCTCCCAAGCAGCAGAGCATGAATCTACCCAGAAAGGAAGCACCTGCTTCTGGCTTCCAAAGCACATGCCACTAACCAACTCCTCTCCTGCTGCTGAAATTAGGGCTGGGCTGTTGGCAGCTGGGGCATCGCCATGACCCTCTCCCTTCCCCAAGAGCTGCCTGCCAGGGTGGCCCTCAACTTTCTGAGGTGGCATCTTGTCACTCCCACAATATGCAGGGTGAAACTGCAGGTTGAACCCTCAGGATGAGCTCCATCTTTTGGCTACACGGCAGGGGACACTGCATGGAGCCTCGTGCCTCCTGCTTGCAGTGGCTGGGGCTCACCTGGGGTGGGTTTTCGATGACCAGCTCGTAGGTCAGCCCAGCAGAGCCAAACCTCAGGATGTCCCCCGGTATCAGCTTCACGGCCACATTCTGAATGTGGCACTCATTGACAAACGTGCCGTTGCGGGAATTGAAGTCCTGGAGGATGAAGCTGCCCTCCGCCTCGTTGTACTCGATGAGCGCATGGTGGTTGTCGATGTCTGCAGACTAAAGCAGAGAGGGGCTGGTCAGCTCCAGGAGAGCGGGAGTCCCACAGCTTATGCCCTTGGTGCTCACTGGGCGCACGGCGTTACCTGTGTAACTCACCGGATCATGACCGTGATCCTCATTTTAAAAGGACATTGATGATCAGAGGGGCTATGGGCTTGCCCAAGGCCACGTACCTAGTGCATGATGTTTTGGTTGTTCTGTTTTTTTTTTTTTTTTTTAGCAGAAGACGGCATACGAGATGTTGCGGCGTGACTGGAGTTCAGACGTGTGCTCTTCCGATCCTCCAACTCACGGTGACCCTCCTGCCTGAGCCT